ATTCGACAGCAGACATGCTCAATAGCATATCAAAGCTATATCAGCAGCGCTGCAGTCCCCGGGGGGTGTGACCTTTCACACAATATAGACCTAAAAACCACACCGTGCATCCATCTTCTGAACGGCAGCTGTAGTTTAACTAGCAAGAAAGGAAAAACAAGATTCAATCGGAGATCACCCAGTGACAGTTTTACACTGGTGACTTCTACCAGACAGCTAGGCTTGTTTGTCGAGTGCGAAGCACTAATTGATCAACTCTTTAGCACAGTTGATCAATTAGTGTGATGCAGAGTGAGACAAACTACGCATGTTTGAGAACATTAAAGGCAGCCTGGGCGATCGTGAATCAGGGTACGGGGCTCTTTCGGCATCTGCAGCAGCGAGTGGCTGTGATATAAAGATGCATATCTGTGTGTGTGCGTTAACAGCAGTGACAGTGGCCTCTCGATGGCACCGGGCCAGTATTTAACAGGCAGTGCGCAGGGTTTATGAGGCGCTCCTAATGGCCGCCGTAAAACATACTGGGAAGTGTAAAAGTGTAAAATAGCTAAGGAGGAGCAGAGAGACTGCATCTTAATCACACCAGAGACCGAGGGAAAGGATGGATAAGGATTGAAACGCTTAGTATGTGTGAGGTACACACAGATAATGATGTTGGGTATTTTCCAGCTACCTCATAAAACACATTGCGCTGCTATGATAAACAACTCGCAATATCATAACCGAATCATTATTTTTAATGACCGAAACAAATTTTGTAATAATGCTACTATTTAAAGGGATTCAACCAACAACGAAAAAAAAACACATTATTTTCCACATACTGTACATTATTGTTTCTCCTCTATGCCCCGCCTTTCTGAAACGCGTTGATTTTTACAAAGCTCATCGGTCTGAAAAGCGAGGTGTGCTGTGATTGGCCAGCTATCCAGTGCGTTGTGATTGGCCGAATACCTCAAGCGTGTGACAGAAATTATACGCCCCTTACCATACTGGAGTGACGAAACAAAAACATGAAAACCCATTATAAACGAGGCATTTGTTGCATCCAGTGGCGACAAAATTATGGATTATAATGACTTCTACTGTCTTTTTACACGTTGCGTTGCATCGCGCCGCGTTAAACATAAAACCATGTCTGCATTTGTGATCGGAGAAATGACAAACAACAAGTGCTACTCTACACTGCCCAAAAAAACGTTTTTTGAAAAAAAGCGTTTGAATCGTCAGTGGCAAATCCTTTAAATATAAAAAAACATTGTATTGGCATTGTAGTCTACTCTACCAGGATCAGGAAACAGTCCTCCATAAAATGTGCTGCACACATCTGAACATTTGGATTAAACAGTTCTGAAAGAGTGTTGTAAATACAACTTAACCACTAATTTCTAGTCGTGTCCTCTTTTGGAAGGCCAAACAAAGTAGTTTCGCTTTCACAACGAAACATTGTCAAACACCGCGCGGCCTTGAGTGAGTGGAGGCCGGAGGCCTAGAGTGAGCAGCGGACTAGAGTATGTGGAGGCCGGCTTGAGTGAGCAGAGGCGGGCGGGCTTTAGAACGGCGCGGCCGGCGGATTCGACGAAGGAGCGTCCGGCGGGCTTGCGCCAACTACATGTGACGACCCTGGGCTGGACTCCGTCCACGGTGAAAGCCGATGTGGCGATCCACAGCGCGAAGTTGGTGTATTTCCTCAGCGACCAGCACGGATCAGCTCCAGGCATGACGAAGCAGATATTGTCCTCTTTTGGAAGGCCAAACAAAGTAGTTTCGCTTTCACAACGAAACACAGTGCCTTCACGACATGGAGGCGGTGGAAACAACAATACTACAGCGAGAATAAAAGTTACGCCGCCTTCTTTCTTTGCGTGAACATTTGGGTGGTGTTATGCAAATCTTCCCACATCGGGATGTAGACATGTGGGGGCATGTTAGAACGAGCCGTTTTAGGTAGGCATGGTTGACTCTTAACTTTTATAAAGAATATCTCTTTGGATTTGAGACTTTAGTCTTTGCAACTTTACAGATCTTCTTTATGCACCAAGAGCTTGTAACACTCCAAAGAGAAAGGAAAAATGTAAATTGCATCATATGGCCCCTTTAATAAGAACTAATCTGAGGTTAACAGAAAAATTGGATACTCACCGAGTAGGACATTAGTTAGTAGACTAAGCAGATTCAAATACGATCCTTCAGGAGGTATTCCAAATTCTGACAAACATTCCAAAAGGAATTCTGAACACATTAATTTAGGATGGATTTGGGGAACTTGGGGGCAGATTGAAAAAGAGAAAAAGCGAGCACGCATGTGTTTATGGGAGAGAGAGCGAGAGAGAGATCAAGTACAATCAAGCAACAGAGGTTTTCATCAAACCACTAGTTTAACGAATGGCACACTGGGGACATATTCAGACAAACAGATCTCAATCGAATGGAGTAAGATGGGCACACACAGATGGATCAAGCCCATTAAAATCGAGGGGGCATGAGGATTTGGAATTGCTTATTTAAAAAAAATAATAATAATAATATTGTTGTAGCACAGTTTGTATTTAGTAATGTGTATTTATGGCTCCTGCGCTGCTTATCAAATGGATTAAATAACCACACGAGGGGTTCTGACATGTTGTGTCGTCTCTGTCTGTATATTTGAGGTCAGTGTTCAGTATTAAATTAATTACACACCCCTAATTAAAATGTCTTCCAGTCAGGTAATGATCTGCAAAGCTCTGCGGCTACTTATTATAGACTCATAGGCATAGACATGACCTGACCACAAACAGTTGTCGAATGATGCAGGTCTTCTTGATGAGTGTATGCATGTGTATGTGTGATAAGATTGACACAAATTGACAGACTGTGACAGTGTGCATGAGCAGCTCTCTAATGCGTGAAGGATGTAAATCTCAAGCGGTCCCAAAACACAGACCTGGGGAATACCACTTTAAAAATGCATATACAATAGGGCTGAAAGATTAATCAAAATCAAACCGAAATCGCAATTTGGCTTGATGCAATAACTGAATCACAAAGGCTGCATTTTTTAATTAAATAAATATATGCACAGCGTCAATAGTAAATACTGCTCATCTCTGTAAATTGTGAGTTTGAGTCGCTTATAACGTGCATCTGAAAGAGCAGCATGTGCACCAGCTTTCAAAAGGTAAAAGGCTATTTTCTTATTTGTACAAATTTCTTTTAAAGGTTTACTGGCTTGATATACAGTGGTGTGAAAAAGTGTTGGCCCCCTTCCTGATTTCTTATTTTTTTGCATGTTTGTCACACTTTAATGTTTCAGATCATCAAACAAATTTAAATATTACACAAAGATAATGCAAGTAAATACAAAATGCATTTTTTAAATAATGATTTCATTTATTAAGGGGAAAAAAACTGTCCAAACCTACGTGGCCCTACGTGAAAAATTAATTGCCCCCTCCTGTTAAATCATGAAAGAACTGCAATTAACCACATTATTTTAGAAAGCTGAGTTAAATTTCACTAGCCACACGCAGGTCTGATTACTGCCAGACCTGTTGAATCAATAAATCACTTAAAAAGAACCTGTCTGAAAAAATGAAGCATGCTTAAAGAGCAACACATTATGCCGCGATCTAAAGAAATTCAAGAACAGAATGCTCGAAAACCCTCCATTGTGGCTGAATTAAAACAATTCTGCAAAGAAGAGTGGGCCAAAATTCCTCCACAGCGATGAGAAAGACTCATTGCCAGTTATCGCAAACACTTGATTGCAGTTGTTGCTGCAAAGCGTGGCACAACCAGTTATTAGATTTATTTTTACTTTTTTCACGTAGGGCCAGACAGGTTTGGACAGCTTTTTTCCCTTAATAAAATAAATAATCATTTAAAAACTGCATTTTGTATTTACTTGCATTATCTTTGTGTAATATAAATATTTGTTTGATGATCTGAATCTTTTAAGTGTGACAAATATGAAAAAAAAATTAAAAACAGGAAGGGGGCCAACACTTTTTCACACCACTGTAGTTAATTTTGCACAGACAAACATCATGTTATCATATATAAAGTTTAACGTTTGTGTGAATATCTAAAAGTGTGTATTTTAACATTTATTGTGATACCTCCTTCACTGGAGTAAGTGCCCAATGTTTGCTTGTCTTTTTAAACTAAAGGACGAGTTGAAATCATTTTCTGTGATGTTAAAAATTACACAAGATTTGCTCTTCACAGAGCTCAACTACAAAACACAGAACCTTCCTATAAGCCAAAAACACAATACGCAGAATTCTGCATACATTTTCAGACTGCCATTCGTTGCATAAGAGCACTATGTGCATTTTTTCCCCCTGAAAGTCCATTTCTTTGGCATAGTGCAGGGTCATGTTGACACACAGCCAGAGTGTTATGAAAAAAATTTTGTGTGTGTGTGTGTGTGTGTGTGTGTGTGTATCTGTGGGCTCTGCCACTTTGGCCACAATTTGATAGGAAGTCGAGTGAAACTAGGAAGGTCACCTCGTTATGTGCACAATAAATCAATATACAGATACAGACGCAGAAGACACAGAGAGCAACTGGAGTGAGTGAAGTGGGAAGCGCGCGAGTGTATATGCGTGTATACGCTTACGTGTGCATATCCAAGGTCACCCCGGCTGCGGCAGCAAAGCTGGGTTAGCATTAGAGCTCACGCTAGCAGGGCGCTCATTACGTTGGGTTATTTATGAACATCCCGCAACTCTCAGACTTTAATAATTCAAACAGCACAGCCCTACACTCCCATGAGACCATGCTCCCACAAGCCAGAGGTGAGAGCCATTAATCAAACGCGGATCTCCTCCCCCCCTTTTCTCTCTTTCCTGCAAGCTCCCTTCACATTTTCTCAATCACATCTCGGCTGGTTTTAGATTGGAGCGGTTTGGACAGAAACACATGTAAGGGAGATTTCACAATTTAGACATCAACCTTATGCAAACACAACCATGATGCTTAACTAGCCACACAAACAGAAGATGAGGGGTTTTTACCATGGTGGCTGGAGGGTTGCTAGGCGCGGTGTGTCCGTGAAAGTGTGTGCGCGAGCGCGAAGTGTGGAGACGGGGGTCTTGGGACGCCCTCTCCTCATGCGCTCACCTCTCTGCCCCCCCGCTGCGCCCTACTGCACCAATCCTGCAAGACAGACAGAGAACAACATTAATTACATGTATCCTGTGCATTTTTATTATTAGCATCACACATTGTTAGTGCACAAGATGGATAAACAGCATTGAAATCAAGGGGACTAAACGTGTAGCATCACAAACCCTCACACAAGGAGGTATCGGTGACTTTGTTTGGAAATGAGCAATGCAGTATATGTATGTTATGCATATTTCATGATCTGGGTGCTGCCGCACAACTGAGATGCGGCCTGTTGTTCTGCTGCTTTATTTCCCAACACAGGGAAGTGTTTGCATGTATACTAGTTTTATAGAGCACTCATCCGGGTCTATTTATCAGGCTTATCTTGCAAAGCGCTTCCACTGCTCAAGATAAACATGGCTGTATGTGAAAGTCTTCTTAGTGCAAAACACACACACAGGAATCGTTTTGAGTGGTGGCAATAACCATAATTTGTGGATCAAACATTGAACTGTACATTTTTCCTCCACTTAATCCCTTTTTATCTGGCCAAATGTCTTCCCTGTATTAATGCAATTTCCCTGGAATATAATTTCATTCTCTGGATTACGGCTTTCGGAGCTGAACAGATGTACTCTTTAATAAAAAAAAAAAATATCCAGAAACTGTGAGGGGAGAGAGCTGATCTCAGTCGAATTTCAATGGTAAAGTGCTGTAGTGTTTTGGATAGATGCTATGTTGCTCTTAGGGCATTCGGTAGTTGCTAAGGTGTTCAGAGAGTTGATCAATGTTATGATATGCACCATGGTTTTTGCAATTTCTGAGGTGTTTTAAATGGTGTTGAAAAGGCCAGTACGATTTTTTATTTTGTTTTGTTTTACAAAATAATACTTTATTCAGCAGAAATGCGTTAAACTGTTCAAAAGTGACAGTAAAAATAAAAAATATTGCAATTAAATGCTGTTTCAGACTTTCTATTCTTCAGAACAAAAAATTTAAAATCACGGTTCCACAAATATATTAAGCAGCACAACTTCCACACTGATAATAATAAATCAGCATATAGAATGATTTCTAAAGGATATCCAGAAACTGTGAGGGGAGAGAGCTGATCTCAGTCGAATTTCAATGGTAAAGTGCTGTAGTGTTTTGGATAGATGCTATGTTGCTCTTAGGGCATTCGGTAGTTGCTAAGGTGTTCAGAGAGTTGATCAATGTTATGATATGCACCATGGTTTTTGCAATTTCTGAGGTGTTTTAAATGGTGTTGAAAAGGCCAGTACGATTTTTTATTTTGTTTTGTTTTACAAAATAATACTTTATTCAGCAGAAATGCGTTAAACTGTTCAAAAGTGACAGTAAAAATAAAAAATATTGCAATTAAATGCTGTTTCAGACTTTCTATTCTTCAGAACAAAAAATGTAAAATCACGGTTCCACAAATATATTAAGCAGCACAACTTCCACACTGATAATAATAAATCAGCATATAGAATGATTTCTAAAGGATCATGTGACACTGAAGACTGGAGTAATGATGCTGAAAATTCTGCTTTTTGTCACAGAAATAAATTACATTTTACAATATATTCACATAGAAAACAGTTATTTTAAATTGTAATAATATTTCACAATATTATTGCTTTTACTGTATTTTTGATCAAATAAATGCAGCTTTGGTATAAGAGACTTCTTTAAAAAGCATTTTGGCAGGGTTGCTAGGGTGTTCAGATCATTTACTTTGCACATGGGCTGTTGGGAATTTTGTACCAGTAAGAGTTTATCAAAAGATGCATGCACAAAAAGTGTGGAAGTCTAGACGCATAAGCCACGAGACCACAAACGTATATCAAGTGTGCCGTTTGGGACGGGGCCACAGACCAAGATAATTTGCATACTGTGGTTATAGCATATCATATAAATCCTTCTCACCTAATGTACACATTACCCAATAATCCACAACCAAGATCATGTTGAATGGGAAGAAATAGTGTCGTTCAATAAGGTACTGCTTATCTCCAGAGTCCCTTTATGCATCAAACCTCTAGGTTTGACATCCTTTTAAGAGATGAACAAGTGTATCTCGTGAGAGACCCCACATCGCTGCCAACAGCGCAATTACGCTCAAATGCAGCCCTGCAGATCTTCTGTAATAATGTTCAGTGGAGTGTGTCCACACAGAGACATTCACAGTCTGCTCGCTGGTGGCCCTGCTGTCACTGCCTCGTTATCAGCATCACAATCACACCACATACCAAACGAGACCGTTCGGAGAGAACTGACAAACATTTCAACATGTAGACGACTATCGCTTCACTAGACTGCTCATTTTGTTTACGTTATATACTAATGAGTGTCTGGATAATAATTTCTTTATTAAAGTTTGAGTTTATTGAACAGGAACACTACTCCTTCACGGTACTTTTTAGAAGTTGCCAGATTTGTAGAATGGTGTGATGATAATTCCTTGATTCTAAATGAAACAAAGACTGCTGAAATGATCTTCGACCCTAGATCTGTGGGGGATCATAGTCCTGTAATAATACATGGGCATTTTACTGAAAAGTTTTCATTGTATAAATACTTGGGTGTTTATATGGACAATTGGTTATGTTGGTCTTCTCACATCAACAGTCTGTGTTCTAGATCGCAGGTCTAGAGGTTATATTTTTTGCGAAGGTTAAAAGTATTTGGGGTAAATCAGAAGATTTTATTTCCGTTTTATCAGTCTGTTTTTGTGAGTTTGATAAGATATGGTTTTACAGCATGGTGTGGAAACCTTACTGTCCAATCAAAATCAAAACTTGCTCGATTTGTACATACTGCTTTAAAAATTGTAGAGTGGGAAGCGAAATGACCTACTGTATACTGGAGATGTATGAGGTATCCGTTTTAAGACAAGCTAAGAATACTGTTGCTGATTACATATTTTACATGAGAATTTTAACATGTTACCCTCAGGGAGACGGATGAGGTTTCTGATGTGCAAATCAAATCGCTACAAAAATTATTTTGAGCCAACTGCAGTTAAGTTATTCAATAGAAAATTGCAAAAATGAGATGCCACATTAGTATACTGTAGCTTTTTAATATATTTTGGCTATGAGTAATTTATTGTATGTTACAGTATGTACTGTACTATGCGAGTCTAATGTTGTGTACTGGCCATGTCATGATTGTTCAAGATGAATTTCGCAGAAATGGGACAATAAAGCATTTTCTATTCTATTCTTCTAAACACTGTCTAGTTTACAACATCAATAATTACAATACAGGAGTAGATTTTTACATGAGGTTTACCTCAAACAAACAAACTCCCTTCATTATGTTCAGTGACATGGAAATAAATATTATATTGACTTTCCACTTTCTGATTATTCAATACCTCACTCATCTGGCACAATAACAATGTTCTTGAAATATCTTCATTTGGGGGCTTTTCTCAGTAAATACTGATAATGGGATTAATGAATCCCCGCGTTATGTAATTCAATTAAAAGTCATAATTCTCATAATTTTCCCCAAAAAACTCAAATAAAATGGAAATGACATTGTGTTCGAAAGACGAATAAGAAAATGGACAACATTTAAAAGATGTAGTTTTAAACACATGCCAAACACATTTTTAAACAAATGTTATAGATTAAAAAAAAGTCACAAAGTCTTTAAGCCATCAGTTAAAATATGTTTAACACTTTATGGTCTCACTATTAGCTCACTAACTTAACTAGTTGCTTATCAGCATGCATATCTATTACTATATACAGTACATAATATATACTGGCTGTTTATTAATAGTTATAAAGCACATATTAATGCCTTTTAGATGCTTAATCCTACACTACCTACAGTACACTTAACAACACTCTTAAAAATAAAGGTGCTTAAAAGGTTCTTCACAGCGATGCCATATAGAACCATTCAGTCTCTTTCTTACCTTTTTGTAATCTGAAGAACCTTCGTTCGCCACAAAGAACCTTTTGTGAAACAGAAAGGTTCTTCAGATGTTAAAAGGTTCTTTATGGAACCATTTAGACAGAAAGGTTCTTCTATGGCATCGTGAAGCACCTTCATTTTTAAGAGTGAACCACATTTAACCTCTATTTTTCAGCATGAATAAGTAGACACATCCTCCAGCTTGTGGGAAACAAGTGAAAAGAACGAGATAAGCATTTCTCAACACTGCCCCCTTGACCGACCTTCACTTTCACCTTCTTTCTGCCTGATGTCAATCCTTTAATTATTTTCTGGTTCCCTCTAGCAGTTTAGATAATAGAGGTATTAGAAGAGGTGGCTTTAACTGGATTCTGTTGTCAGGACAGTCTGGCCTTCCTGAAGACAGCCTGCGGCGACATTGCTGTAAACAATTACAGTACCACTTTGCTGCAGAATAATAGGGAAAACCAAAAGAAATTCAAACCCTCCAAATCACTGCCAGGCTTTAAAAGGAAAATAGCGAGCCATACTGTACCTCATTTGCCAAAGTTTTTAATAAAGTACTTACAATTGTATATTTGCTAGCATTAAAAGTTTGGAGAATAAACAAACAATGCCGAGACGTTAATTCAATGAATGTGTTTTAATCTGAAAGATTAAACAACTTTTTGCTCATTTGAATCGCATCACATTTCCCATTGAATGTAAGCATGCCATCATGTCTTTGCAGCTTTCTCAAACAAAACTGTACGGATTAAATTTATTGTTAATATTTTTCACAAATATGATTTCAGATTTCACATCTCAACAGCAAAGCCAAGAAACTGAACAGCTCATGGTATTTCCAATCATACTTATTCATCTCAGTGGCGTAGAGAGGGGAGTGGGAGCTCTTAAATATTTTTAGACATTTTAGAGATCTTTTGCTTTAAACCATCTATTAATGTTAAATCCACAAATGAAATGTTAAGGTTTCATCTGCTTCTGTCAGAAAAAAAAATAATAATAAATAAAAAAATAAAACTAAATAAATAAATAAATAAAAAACCGGCAAAGATTGATTTTATTATAGTTTACATATTTTAATTTAAAAAAAAAAAAGAACTTTAATA